TTCATTTGTGTCTGTGCGTAACCCTTTGTCACATATGTCTCTCCGGTGTGTTTCTAGATGAGCGTTACTATCAATGACTGGCTGTCTGCTCCACTGTCACCGGTGTCAGCTCACTCAGCGCGTGTTATGGGGCTGACTCATAAACCCACGCTCGGAGTTGACGTTCAGGTTTTCAACAGTGAGGTAGTGGACCGTCATAGTACCGTGCAGACAGTAGCGGTGGGTGACAGAGGCGGAGGGGTCTGGCGGCAGTGACAGAGGAGTGCGATGGGGGTGTGAAGAAGGGTAGAGTTACAGGAAGGGGACCGAGCTCCAGGGAAGAAATAGAAAGTTGTGTTTGTGGTAGGGGAGGGGCTGCTGGCTGCTCTTAAGGTGTTGCTGTAGTACTGGAAAGTCTGTGTGGGATTTTGGGTCTGTTTTTACGTGCTGTAAGGGAACGCAAAATTACTCCATGGTCTATAAAGAAAGTTAAGGTTAAAGTTAAGGTGTCTTTATTTGTACCCTTGAGTAAATTTGGTTTACAGTAGTTAGGACAGTTTCAAGTACATTTTGTTAATAGTCATGTGAAATCCTCCAAAAGACACAATTTCAGTGATTTTATATGTCTGTTGGTGTCTTTAACTACGGATTTAGGAAGGCATACAGAGGGTGAGGGTTAAGTCCATTACTCAAAGTAATTTATCTTTATTTCTTGTTTCCTTAAAAATATGGATATACAATTTTTATGTTTTCATTTTGATATTGCTTCCATATTTGATCTCCATGATACATTCCTTGTTTACTAATTTTACTTTATGTAAGGATAACTGATTAAGTGAGCATTGTTCCTTGCCACTGAAAAATATAAAACTTTAGTGTTAAAATTATGTTGTTGTTGTTGTTGTATTTAATTGATGTTGTATTTAATTGATCTCCATTAGTTATCAGCTATTCTTCCTGGAGACCTATGTTACATTCGTTTGGGGCTGTGGGAAGAATTATTGTGGAAAGAAACATATAACGGTTATTGACACATGACCAAACAACAATGAAATCCTTCATTCACTTACATTCACCTTGTCTAATGGAGCTCAACAGCTCTGTCCACTTCGAAACCCGCTCCTGTTCCCAAAGTAAATTTTCCATTCATTTTTCCCATAGACTTTTGGAAAAATTCATCAAATATTAAAAGTTGAAAGGAAACTTGGAGGCTAACCAGCTACGTGGTCACTAATATCCGTAATGTGGTTGTTCAAGCTCAAAAAGCATGTTTAAAACACAAAATTCAATTCAGTGAAGAGTTTAAATAAAATGATAGGTCTTGTGCTCATTGGTCACCATGTAGCTGAGTAGCCCTGAGCAAACTTTTAAACATTATGGGAAAAATGTATGAAAAATGTACGTTCAGAACCAGAAGGTGGGCTGTGTTCAGTTCCATAGATTACCACTTCTCTTCTTTGTGACCAATTTAATGAAATCAAACTTTCTGAATGAAGAAAGTAAAGTTAGTGTGACAGAAACAGGCAGATAAAAAGCCACTCCATATTAAGGTTTACTTTTTTTAGAGAATATATGGAATTGAAATGACTTAATTTTGCTTCTAACACTGACCCAGTTATAGTTTTCAGTTCTTACACTATTACATTGTGACCTAAATACCAAACTATCTTGACATCTCTACTTGTGACTGACGTGCATTATACTGTATCATTTCTCAAAACTTTGGTGTGTGATGAACTCAGCTGTTAACAAATTATTTAATCCTACACATGTACACAGCTATAAGTGAATGTGTAATGCCTGACACTACAAACATGTGAACAAGTGAACAGACAAGAGCGGTCTAACCCGTTTCCTGAGCACATTATACTTGGAGTGCACTGCGCATGTAAAAGGAGTGTATGGTGAATGTCTGGAGGATTAGCCCCCCTCCCACCTCAAACCCCCCTGAGAACAGAGCTCTCTCCCACACACTCACACACCTCCCTGGGCCTGGAATCCATCTGAACCGGGAGAGACTGTCCAGAACCACCCCCTATAGCACATCCTCCTCCCCTGCCCAGCCCCGGCCTACAGTCCCAACATGGCCGAGCGCTCAGCTTTACCTCATACTGGGAGAGGAAGCAGGCCACACTGGTGATGATGCAGTGAACATCAAGAACAACATGTGTTCACCTCGTGTATATGTCGTGTGGGATGTGTCTCTAAGGGTGATGTCATGTGTTTCTGGGTTTGGACTTGTGGGGAAAAATATACAGTTTATATTTGACTATTGTTCATTGTTTTTTGTTGCACCACATGAACAAAGCAAATTCCTAGTTTGTGAATTTTGTCACTTACAATAAATGTATTTCAAATTCTTTGTACACGTTTTGTTTTCTTTTAAGTGTGTAACTGCTGGTGTATTTATTTCATTTCGGATCATTAATAGAAATGTAAATATGTTAAAAAGAGACATAAAGTAGTAGTAGTAGTAGTAGTAGTCGTAGTCGTAAAATGAAACAAAACAATTCCAGTGCATCTTGGGATTTGCATAGCTTTGTCTAGATGTATATATTAAATAAAGTTTTTTTTTTTTTTTTTTTTTTACAATAAATACATAATTTCTAAGTCTATACAACAATAATAAACAATATAATGTGTTATTTATTTTATTTAAATTCCCTCTTCTTAAAGACACACACACTTGGCCTGAGATGAATTGGACAAAGGACAAATGAGGTTAGCAAAGGTCTGGCCTGAGCTGAAACGGTATAAGCTTGAGAAATTTCCACAGGGCAGTAAAAAGTCTGCCACTTTACTTATTAAGTTTTTAATGTGCGCCATGTGCCGCTGGGACGTTCTCATGAACACTGCTCCTTCTCTGTTTGGAATGTGTATATATGTGTTTATTTTAGGTTGCATTGGGAACCAAATAAAAGTCGATCTAAAACAGAAAAGTGCTGTGGGATGAAATATGTAGACCACTTACATGAATTGAACTGGTTTGACTGGCAGTGCCTTCACTTTTAGATCTGAGTAAAACAGAATAATAGACACCTCACCCAAACTCTCTGTATTCTCTGTTGCTTCTAATCCTAACTCACAAAAGTCAGTACAAAACGGCTGCATGGTTTTACTGTGCCATTCATAGACAGGAAGCGTTCACCAGTCAAACAGGACCCAAATGACTCGCACTATAAAACAACAGGAAAGAAATAAACCTGTGCTATAGGTTTTGTAGAAACCCAACCGTAGCTGTAAAACACTGCTTTATCCAGTTAATAACATTGGTGTTTCACAGGTTTGCCCTGCACACTGTTGCTTTTGCCACTTGCCAGTACAGGATTTTGGACACAGGAGTCATTTAGAAGTTTTATTAATAACCATCACTGGATTAAAAAAAAATATTGTGTAATATCACACTTGAAAGTAATCCCTCAATGTAAGTGATCTTAAGTGTACGAGTCCAGAGGAGTTGCAGCTGTGTTCATGGTTGTTTTTTGAGTGCCATTGGATGAAGCTGGCATAGCGCAAGAAACAAAATAAAACTGAATACATTAGTTAGATTTAAAATGTGTAGGCTTTACTTCTTGTTTTATTTATCAAATAAATACATAAATAAACTTCCCCTTATTGATTTAACATATAATTTAAAAATATAACCCATGGACATAAAACTCTAACAAATTTACAAAAGCAGTTGTTGTCTTGTTTCAATTTAGCCAAATGGAGATTGTAAAGTTTTATTGTACTTTTTTTAAATTTATGACAGGAGGGGGATCACTCACATGTGAAAAAGGTGCGCGTACGTAGATCACGTGGTGACATTAGCGTTAGTCTGCTGACAGGAAATTACCCCTCTTTCAGCTTTTAACAACCTTTAACCTTTTTGACTGAGGCTGATATCCTTAATACGTCTGAATATTATTTGTTATACCTCAACATGCGTATGCACTAACCTATTTCTAGACTGACGGTCCGAGCGCACAGGCCTTGACTTGAATCATATTAACGAGACGAGCAGTCACTTATACGCTCTGAAATATGATCTACATCCCGAGCTACAGGCACATGAAACTACTAACACTCTACTTCTAATAGGCCTATCAGGTTATTAGCAACTTTATTATTATTATCATTATTATTATTATTATTATTATTATTATTAGTAGTAGTAGTAGTAGTAGTAGTAGTAGTAGTAGTAGTAGTAGTAGTAGTAGTAGTAGTAGTAGTAGTAGTAGAAGTACCAACAAAGCAATAACGGTGATACTGAGACGTGTGAAATGATTACGAGCAGTCAATAGCCATAAAAACTGATTTTCACATTTTAATTCGCGCTTCAGGTCAGGAAAAGTAGCTCCATGTACAAGGGGTGACGTTTTTGTACCAAATAAAAATCCACTTCATTAATTCCCTTTTAATGAATACTTTCATTGGATAATGTTCATGCATAAAATCGACAATGTAGGAACAAACTCGGGGAGGATAACGCACTAAATGATACATGAGAAAAACTGAAAAAGTAGGCTAAAAAAATAAACTGTAAACTACTCATACACTTTGGATTAGAATTGATCCGCAAGGAGGCGCTGTGTGTCCATCACTGCGCTTGCACTCGGAGCTCGAATTGTAGACCTCAAAGCTGCGAGGAATGAAATTAAGAATAAGATTCACGCTGAACGCATCATATACACTCTATAGGTTTTTCAGCAGGTAGTATGACATAAAAATAACTTTACATACATCGGAGCTTTGAGTTGTTTTGCTTCTTGTAGCTCTGGCAAAAGGCAGTTAATTTCAATAGGTAATTGCAAATTGCACCGTCAAAAGTAGGCTATATGCTTTTATCCACGTCATGTGATAAATGAGTGTGCTTTATTTTAATCATGAACGTGTGTGTAAATGACAGTCAAGGTGGACATGTTTTGCATAGCAGCTGCTCCGAGATAACCCCTCCTCCCTGGCCGTGCGCTCCCTCTCTCTCCTTTCCTCGCTTCCCGTTGCGCCGCCGTGTGCTTCATTCCAACGCACCACGCCGAGCGAAGCGGACGGCTCTCCACAGCAGCAACAGAAGACATACACTAAGGACTCATTCGCTCAGGGAATTACACCTATCCACACTTGAAGCTACGCACTATCTGAACCACGCTTGGCTCGAGTGTTGCTTCACTGGAATAACTTGCTCTACGGACTACAACATGGTCTGCCTTGTCCATACGCGACCGTCTCTGCGTGCGCTCTGACCACAAACTCTGAAGGATCGTTCTTACGGAGGCACGAGTGGGAATATTCTCCTGGATGATTACCACAACCTGGACTACGGCTGCGTGAACGGGACTGGGGGCCCTCCATACACCCCATACAGTGTGCGCTTTAAAGTGACACATTGGAGCGCAGTGAAAAGGCAGAGAGGCAGCTTCTTTTCACGCTGTCGGGTTTATTTTCACCTGGGACACTCAGAGCGAGGTGAATGGGGCTGGAGCTGGGGGACTGACACAGCGGTGGGACACACCAGCGGGACTCGGGCAGCACTTGTGGGCTGTTTGGGGAGACGGATCAGCCTGAGGATTGTATTCCCTACTCTTATGTGCTGGCTCTATTTACATGTCCGTGCGGCTCGCTTTATGACAATGGATTACTTTCTGCTTTTATGCAGCTTCCTGCTGCCCGCGGTGTCCGCTGTAGAAGGTAAGATAGTAGTTTACAGTATTTCTATGCAACATTTCTATGCCCAGTATCCTACACAGAGGCGAGTGTTTCATGGAGGGTGAGGCGCATGCCAAAATTCGCACTGTCGCACAAAACAGTTTAATTAACAGTTTAGCAGTTCAATTACGCCTCTGTACAGCATTATTGTATTATATATTTATTTATTCTTTTTAATTTCTACTAGTATAGATACTTGTGGTTTTAGGAGAGTTTTTCAGCGATACGCTCGCTGTCATTCTCAGTACACCAAGTGTAGCTTTCAGTGTGCGCGTTCAACAGAACTCATACATTTCAATGGTAGGTACTTGTGGATTGCCTTTCTTCCTGACACTTGGGAGGAAATTAGTGGAACTCCGTACCGGACTCATCGGGGAGTCCCGACCCCAGAGCCACTATAGCTACTCGGCCTCGTGTATTTTAGTCTCACTCGACTTCGTGGCCTTTGGTCATGTTCTATACTCACAGTTGAACAAGTCACATAAACATTAGATTAATGTTTTTAAAAAAACGAATCGTTATTGCAAAGTGTAAACTAAAATATATGCATTTTAAACAGTGAGGTGATGTAGATTGTTGCTACGGATTTACATAAAATCTACGCACAAGTGGCTGAGCCTTCAGTGCTTTTGAAGCCGTCTGATTTGTAACATGTAGGCCTACTGTAGGACGAATATTTCTTCTCCAACATCAAATTTGTCTTAAATATCTTTAATTCTTTAGGGGTGAGTGAATAGATCTCAAATTGTGTCTACTGTCGAGTAGAGTCTAACGTGGTGATGCCAAATGAAAACTGGGACAATGTGCCTTTGGCCCAGAACTGTTTCATCGTGCCTTTTCCCGGAGCGAGTTGTGCATATTGTCGTTTGGAATCGCTGTCTGTCATAGATAACGTAATTTTGAAGCTTGGAAACTTTCAAGTGAGATAGTGTAATGTAAGACAGTGGGTCAGGTCGAACTTTTCAGTTAGGCTTTTGGGATATTATTAAAAGACTGGCGGGACTGTTGTCATTTATTTTATTTTATTTTATTTTTTCTTCAACAAGGATCAGTGTAACAGCTTTCAGTGAGTTGACTTGACATGAGACGGGAGTTTGTAGTTTTGCGCCTTTCCTTGGGGAGACGGGGCGCGATCGTGGCTTCGTGAGGTCCTGAATCAACATTTTGGTTTTAACTGTTTTTCAGTCGAACCGCACTGTCGCTTCCCCTGTCCGCTCTGGGGTGTCAAAACATACACTCACGGTGGAAGTTAAAATAATCTTGCCCTTATCTAATCAAAGGGCTTGTTTTGTTCCTTATCTTCAGATAACAAGGCGAACTATTAAAACTTGACCAATATCCTTTTCTAGATGACCCCAGAAGCACATAAAACAAACTACAATCATATAACAAGTTGTCTCAAATTAGAAGATACATATTTTATTGGCCAGCTGTGTGTTAAATTCTCGACTTTTTCCATCAGGTTTTGGTTTCTAGAAAATCAGTTTCTCTCACATTGCCCCAAAGGTCAGCGCACCCCAGCCGGGAAACAGCCACTAAACCTGGCCAAATGGAGGGTCCCTGTGCGTAAATGTGATGTGTAGAGACAGGCCCAGTGAAAAGGCAATAGCCCGTTTTGAGTGTTGCGTGTGACGTGTGCGCTCTGTCCTGTGGTGTTCGTCTGCCCCAAAAATGTGTCCAAGTTTTCAGTAGTCTGAAAAAGTTGTATGGAGTTTTGGTTCGTTTTTTGAAGGTTTCATACTTTTGTGTGTTCGCTTGAACATAGTAAATTGTCGTGTGCAATTTCCTTGGCCTGCTCGTATCTCTCCATCCGGGTGATAATAGCCCAAGAGAACTTCTGACAAAGTTTTTGTTTAATTAAATATATATATATTTTTTCATTTTCTTTTTTTCTATACACATGAATTGTATTTTACAAACTTCTATTTGGCTATACCACGTGACAGTGTATGCCTTTACCTTATATTTTATTCATAAGAGCACCATTACGCACCCCTTTAACTGTGCATGGATTCCTCGCAACTCTTGTACCGTGTATTTATCAGCTGTTTTATGTTTTCGCCAGGTATAAACAAGATATTAAATTATTTGTATGTCATACTTTTTACCTACGTAGTATATAATAAATTATGAAATATACACTTTTTTCAGTTAGGCCCAATTTTTCTAACACTAATCTATAGAAACAGCTCCTTATTCAGAGCCATTGAACTTCAGCTTGTCTCAGTGGTTCAAGTCAAATTGAGCCGATGACAGTGGCGCGTAACAGGGCCACTTTGCCTGACGCAAAGATGAAAACTACCAATTATTTATTATGATAAACATAGAGGCCATTATACTGTGACACTATTAAGGATAAAAGATTGAGATATTATAGATTTGCATAATTAAGTATCAGGTCCGTTTTAAAGTTGATGCTGTTTATTCACTACGCCTTCTATCGAATAGCGTTTGTGCCTATAGGCAAAGGATTCCCCCTTGAGTGCTGTGCCCTCTCTCCTTTCTTCCTTTCTATAAGTGGAGATTGTGGAATAGCTGGCATATTTCTGTTTTTTATGTGGGTGAGATCACACCTCTATAGGAGTTTTCCTGTCTCTTGCGTTTTGCAGTTGGCAACTTGCTCATTAAACCTAACCACCCTTTGTATCGAGCTGTAATGCAAGATGATGATATAGCCTACTGCCTAGTATATATCCGTTTGATCGTGTGTTTCGTTTGGTACGGTACAGCTCTCCTGTAAAATCACAAGCAATGTTAAATAATCTCATCCAGGAGTAAGATGGCTATTTAGTGTAATTGTCAGATCTATGAAGCAACATGAAGTCAGGAAAATGACAGCCAAGAAGCCCGTATACTGTTGTAGTAGGTTAAGTCTAGCTGAATTCCTATTACTCGTCGCCGGGCCATGTGTCCGTTTGGTCGGGGCAGCAGGCCTTCATGTGCCAGGCGTTATTTATGAGCGCAGCAGCAGCAGCTTGTGTGGCCCGAGCCCCTCTCAGTCGCTCACAATGCCGCCCTCACATAACCGTGCGTAAAGTTAACTCCAGGAGCTCCTCTGCATAAATTCGCAGGCAAATCACTGGGCAAATGTACTTAAGGTCACAATTGCGGTGACAAAAGACGCCATTAGCGATCCTATGGTGGCAATTACACTCAGCATTGAGAGGGGGAAACTGCGCTAAAGAGACGCTCAATTTGCAATAGAAAAGCAAAGTCATGGTACAAATGAAACTCGCTGAGGTCGTCAAAAACACACTGGCGTATTCAAACTAATTAGTTTGTGTTTTGAAACCATTTCAATTGTTTTGTTAATGAATAAAAATCTGAACAGGGTTATTTAGTCTTGACGCTTCTTAAATAAGGAAATGTATTTTTTTTTTAATTGTGTGGCTAATTGTGGATATAAATCTCAAAAGTGTAACAAAAAGTACATATAATACCTGCAATATATATTTTTAAGCCCAGCTGATGTGTAATTTTATGAGCCAAAATATTATAACATAAAGTGAGGAACTTTTTTTTTTTTTTTTTTTTTTTATATTTAATTTAGAATAACCATATTTGGCACTCATGGCCACATATTTGCTTCACTTAAAAAAAAAAAATTAAAAAAGAGTAAGTAAATTAACTGTAATAATTAATATAATATAAAAAGTAATATATGCACAATCAAAACTAATTATGTCTTTGTGTATCTTTTAACATAAGATCAAATATATTCTTTCTTTATTCTTTCTCAGTACTATTTTGCAGTGGTGGCAGATGGTTGACCTAAAATGTAGGCCACAGTCACTGGCCCTATAGACAGCCATTTTGAACAGATGCACAGTAACTTCTTATAGGCTGAGGACACGGGGCAGCAGATGACGACATGTTGAGTGCCTGGTGAGATGAAATGTGGGGAAAGCAGCGTTGTGGCATTAACTCTGAAATATAAGGGCAGACCCAGAACAGAACAGAACGGGGAGCAATGACTGACTTAACAGACATGCCTGCAGGACGCCTCTCCGGCACCTTCGCTTGGTTTATGGCCCAAACGGTGGCACAGACATATTCAACGAGCTGGAATTTCACATGACGGCGAGCAGCAGCCATGTTCCACCAGACCAGAGCGCACAGAAGCAAGCGGTAGTTAAGATCCGTGAATAGTACATACATAAGTTTTATACAGTATTTTTGACATCCAGCCTGAAAAGTACTATCAAAAGTATATTGACGTTGGTATGTTGGCAATATTAATTCAAATGACGAAATACTACATCATAAAACACACGCAAAACGAACTGCAATCTTTATCACTATCCTTGAAATTCTGAATGAACGAAAAGTGAAATGAACTGAGCTGAAAGTGACAAATATTTTACTTAAAGGAACTAGAATTATACCAGTTACTATACTTTACTAAAATACTACAAATTCACATTGAGCTAACATTATAATTCATTTTCAGAAATCTAAAAGCGCAATGACTGAGTCTGAGAATGTGTGTGCCTTTTTATCATATGCGAATACAATGCACTTTTTCGCTGGCCCAAAGCCCAAACACTGAATGGAGAGAGCTTTTGAATTACAGTAGCAACCTAAGACACATTTAAGAATCAAATCCCAAACTACAAATCCCTTCTCATATGTTTTATTTACTTTTATGAAAACCCAGACGAGCGTTACAGTCAGAATGAGGCCGGTCCCTTCTCCGCGTGTTCAGTGTGTGTGCGTGGTGTGTTTTCCGTACACATGGGCCGGTGCGTGTGAGCAGGTCAGCTTGGCGTCTGACACAGGGGTCTTGTGAGATGGCAACTCGGGGTCTCATAGTGGAGTGGAGGAACAGGGGAGAAGAAAAAGACGGAAAGAGAGGGAGGGAAAAGCAGAGATCCAATGTGTCTAGGCCTGCCCCCTGCTGCACACATGCTGCTGCTGTGTGAACCCAGCCAGCCAGAAAGAGCAAGAGAGAGGGGAATAGGTCTCGAGTACAGTGGGGTCTA